CAGGGGAGGTTTATATTGGGTATTAGGAAATACAATTTCTTCACCGAAAGGGTTGTCAAGCATTGGAACAGGCTGCCCAGGGAAGTGGTGGAGTTACCATCCCTGGAGGTGTTTAGAAGATGTGTAGATGTGGTGCTGAGGGACATGGCCTAGTGGTGGACTTGGCAGTGCTAGGTTAACAGTTGGACTTGATCATCTTAAAGGTTTTTTCCAACCAAAATGATTCTATGACTCTAAAAAAATACTACAGACTTTCAAACTCTGCTACTTTCTCACTTTTAAATGTCCTACATAAAGCTGAGAGTAAATTTATTCAGTAGATAAACCTCAGTAAGGACTTTTTCATCTTCCAGTTTTTTTAATTTAAAAATGGACAGGTAGAAAGGGGGTATCAGTTGCCCTATCTTTCACTGTTACAGAATACTAAAACAAATTCTCCTAAAAAGAAGGTGCCTAATTATGAAAGTGGGCAAAGTTGGTAGATAACAGACACCTATTTTAAGCAGCCCACTAAAAGGATATCCTCAAGATACAAGGCATTAGCCAGTTGTTAGAAGACATGACTGAAATTGTGGAATTCATGGATTTTTCTCATTCTTTCGTATAAATTTTGCTGTTCTTTAATTTTCATGCTTCAGTTTTCCCTACTTAAATATATATACACTACACATATGTACACACATACATGTGTGTGTAAGCTGGCATCTGCTCTGTGTGTATAAACTTGCTTTTTAAAGATTTAGAAAAGTACAGAACTCTACTGTTAGACTGGAGAAGTATCCAGAAATAAAAAGTTGAAGACTACAGAGTATTTTGTATCCCTACAGAGTATTTAAGTCGTGGCTCTTATAAGTAACTTACCTTATCCATTCGATCTTTCTGTACACCATACTTCCCACCAAATCCTTTTGAATAATCTAAAAGCAGGATAAAAAGGTTAGAGTAGGGAGTTTGTTGTCCCTCTTGTCTTTCTGCCAAATGCAAATAGCCATTTCAAATGCAAATAGCCATTTCAGCTGCATGCAGAGATACAGTGACAGCCGCCAAAGAAAATGCAACTTGTTTTTTGATGCAGAAAGGATACATAACTGGCAAGAGCCTTCAGGTACACCAGCAGACGACAGATTGTGGGCCACATGCATTCTTTCAGTAAACATTAAGCTGAGGATTGATAAGGTATCAAGCAAGGAATAAGGGATGAGCCCTTCTAATGCATCACTTCTGTAACACAGCCTTTCACAGCACCAATTCTTAGCCCTCTGCAGTGATCATATAACCTAAGCCATTTTGCTTTGCTCAAAGGAGCGATATCCAGTCTTCAGTGACCACAGAGGTGTTTTTTCTCTTTAACTTGGTAAATTCTATGAATGGCAGGAAAATATAACTAATTTCTCATTCCAGCAGATTTGGTCATGATACTCAACTGATGAACATTAAAGTCATTGGTAGTAACTCCTGCTCTACACATGGAAAGGGGCAATTCCGCAAGACAGCACGAACCTGCAACAACTCACCACCACAGAAATGGGGTGACCATACTATTCTGTACCACCTCTGAGTTCTCTCACCTGATGCTGACTCTAGCACTTGTTATACTCTGAAATCAGTTTAACTCACTAGTGGCATTAACAAGTAAAACAACAAACCCTAACAAGAGTAGCTTTCTGCTCTTTCTAGTGAGTTGTACTCAGAGAAATGTCTAACGAGCACCAGAGCCAGCACAACAGAAGCAGCAAGAGCGTGTGGCTGGAAAAACACCTCTTTCTGGTGGCAGTGAGCTGTAGGAACGTGCCCTTAGACTCTGTAGATGGACAGGCTTTCCTATACGTCCCTGGAATACAATTACTCCTTCTCCTCTCAGCCCCAAAACCACTTGGGTCCCCTAGCCAGCTGTTTTAGTGTTTGTACTTGGGCTGTGCTAAGGCACATCTGACACTCTAAAAGTTTGAATTTCTGTCACTGTAGCACAGAAAAATATTGACTATCAGAATGAACAACCTCATTTTCTTCAGCTTTGTATGTATTTTCAGCCAGAATAAATATACTACACTTACATTTTCCTGATCCAGACTTCTCACTTTAAGATAACGGAAAACCAGGAATTCATGGTTTGTACCCCAACTATTTCACAATGAATAAAGAGAGCATTATAACAGTATTTGCTCACCCAAGAACCACAAACATTCCCTACTTCTTGTTTTAAGGACTACAATCATTCTAAAATGATCTTGCCATAACCCATTGCTTGTTAATGGTTACATGCATGGTCCTTATCTGAATATTTTTCCACCAATTTATCCAGGCAAAACTTCATATTTAGACTCTAAAACTGGTAAGCACGACGTCATTAACATCATACTACTAATAATGTTGTTATCACACTGTATGTATAGCTATTAACTAAACACATAATGTTGTAGAGCTGTTAACTAAACATTGGATATCTGTTTCCTGAATACTGGCTTGCTTTATGTAACATTTTAAGAATAAAATGGAAGAACATTGCTAGATCATGTAGGAATAGAAGCGCAAGAAAGTGCCTGCACATTACTAGCATCTACTCAGAAAACTATTTAAGACTGTGTGAGAAGTGGCTGCACTGTTAAGAAAGTAACAAGTGAAAACGGTGCCTTGTTGAGATTCATGCTTGGCTAGTTTCTCCTTGTAATCAAACCCCACAGCAGATGGGTCCTGCCTTTCTGTCTGTACACCAAATTTCCCTCCGAAACCACTCTTATAGTCTGAAAAAGCCACATGTAATAAATTAAAATGAAGGGAGGAAAATAAACAAGTTTAGTCAGAGACACTCAAAATAATTTTTGCAGTATTTTCAATTACCAATAATTTTGGATGGTGAAAAAAAAAAACAACCACAAAACTCAATATACTTTTGTAAGAGTAAATTCAAAAGAAGTTTCCACTTGAGATTAGGAAGAGGTCAACATGATTTATCAGACGTAAGAATACCATTCTGAAGTCACAGAAAAAAAGCACTTCTCAACATTTTTCATACATACTGCATAATGCACTTGCATTTGATCAACATTATGAACACAAACACACACACAGACATAGTACGTTCATCAAAACAAAACAACATACAAAAGGATATAAGAGAATAAAATGAACTTCCTTCCTCAGTGTGGTTAACATTTGTGCACTAGAGATCTGACTTTTAAAGAGGTGTTAAGATAGGATCCGCCGAGACTATCCTCCAGATATTCCTACACAGTATTTTTTAAAGGAAGAATGAATATCCCTCCTGCCACACAGCTTGAGGGAAAAAAGCTCTCTCAGCTAAGAGCTATGATCATTTCCTACTGCTGCCTTAGAACAGCCATTTTAATATATGCTATGAAATGAAGGTACAAAAAAAATAAAAACAGGCTTCAGGTAATCTTCACAGAACAAATCTGCTGGAGCATCCAACAGAATAATATTCTGAGGATCACTTTTAATTTCTTTAATTTGAAAAAAAAAAAATTAACTAATTTAATTTCTTTAAGTTAAAAGTGGTGACAGGTAGAGGCCTGGGGAGCAGTTTGTTATTTTGCAACTTTTCTTCCGGGTACCAGTATTTCATAGGGATAGGTACCTCACAGGCAACGAGAAAGGACAGCATTAGATATTAGATCTTCCCTGCATGAAAATAGGGGTACACATATCAGAAACCAGAAAAGGAAGATTATTTGTGGAAAGTACAAAGAAACTGCTAATTTGTTGTTTGCACAACTCAACTGAAAAAGGAAAAAAATAATCCAGGCTACCTGCAGACTCATAAGGCTTCTCCAGTGAGAACTTATCACCAAGTCTGAACTTTCAGGAACTCGGTACCAGATGTGTTAAACCTGCTTTGCAGACACCAGTACAACCAACACACAGCAACCATTCAAACACAGAAAAAGGAGACTCATGTCAGCTACTATAGGGCTGTGGCCAGACATACCAGGGGAGGAGGTTTCACACAGGGAAGAGAAAAGTCAAAATGACGGAAGTCAGAAAGGAATTGTGAACTGATATACCTTTCTGGGATTCGTGCAGCTGCACCTTCTCTTGGTGATCCCAGCCAAGTGCACATTTGTCTTGTCTGTCTGTCTGCACACCAAACTTGCCTCCAAACCCCTTTACATAATCTGTATGCACGAAGTTTCAGAAAACATTATTGCAGTTTATGACTGTAAACAGTATTGAAACAAAAAACAGTGACATGTTATGGGACAAGTTGCCCTGTCGTTAATGATATTATCTTCCACTCTTTTTTCTGCCCTGCTACACTACCTCAACAGAGGGGAAAGATATGCATTCAGTAACTCTAGGATCACAATGCAAGGAAGCATCACAAATCCAGTGAAGGTTACAGCATACAGACTCAATAATATTCAAAGATTTGAAGAATCTGATGCACCTTCCACCTAAAGCCATCTAGCACACATATACATATATATATATACATATATATGTGCGCAACATAGAAATATAAATAATGAAGGACTTGATACTGCCTCTGAATACCAGAGATCTGTGCAATTACACATTTATTTCAATAACATCCATACGGACATAAGGCCTCTTGGAAATCAGATTGTGAAGTTCAGGTATGGTTTACAATGCCTTCCTTTTCATCTGAGGGAAACAAAAATCTGCATACACAAAGGGTAAACACACATTTACCACAAAAAAAAAAAAAATTTCCCAAGTTTAAAAGGTTGATTGATTTGAACTAATATTTTTAAATAAGATAATAAAAACCTTTCTGTGATTCATGTTTTTCCGTTTTGCCTTGATATTCAAAGCCAACAGCACTTTTGTCCACTTTGTCCTTGTCAACACCATATTTACCACCAAAGCCCTTGGAATAATCTAGAGATAAGAGTGAAGAATTTTGTTTGTAAGTGTTCAGTAACAAAATACTACCTTGAAAAATCGTGATCATCAGACCTGCTAATGTTACATTACATACTAAAAGAAGCACTGACATCCCCGGTTAATCTTGATTCCAGACACTGAAGTCATAAATTCTTCAGTATACATTCTCTCAGGATGGAAAATCAAATAGCTTCATATGTAGTTCAACTGCTGGGCAATATCAGCAATTCTGCTACTTGACTCCTTGATAAAATTCTTAAGATTTATAGCAAAATGAACTTCACAAACCATGTCAGCAACAGCCTGGATGCTTTTAAACAAACACCTCCTTCTTCTCCTTAGCATTTCTAGAGTGCAAACATTTCTTTGAGATAAACAGAAAACAGATGGCAAAAATGTCAAAGTTTTTCAATAAAATGGTAGATTTTTGATCAGCTATGCCTGGAAACCTGATTAGCAACACAATATTAACTCTAAACACTACTAACTCTGCTAAATGTTTTAATCTACAAACAGCTGATTCTTTTAGAAACTCTTCTCTGTTGTGGTTATACTGCTTACGCTCTCAGTACTTTAATCTACTGCTTTTCAAAAGAAGTTGCAAAAAACCTCCAGAAAAACCTAGGTGCCCTGCTTCCAAAGTAATGGCAGGTGTATCACCGCTTAAACCCAGTCAGAGCCTATGTTTTAGGTTTCTTTTTGAGAAGTCAAAGTTTTCAGCAACATAAATTTTATTCAATGTTAACTTCCAGCAGGTTGGGACTGCAACAGACGTAAAAAATTAGTCTTTTACAACACTGCCTGTCATGAATGTCTACTACAGAGTACGAATCCACCACCACATGTGTCTACTCACCTTTCTGTGACTCGTGTTTCTCAGTTTTACCCTGGTAATCAAACCCCACTGCACTCTTGTCCACTCTGTCAGACTGTACTCCGTATTTTCCACCAAAACCACTTGAGTAGTCTGCATTGAGTACAGCACAATAAAAATGAAAAGCAGCTTTTAATGGAAACATCATATCCTAGCAATTGATGAAAAAAGAAGTTATTCCAGAACTTAAATATTACTCTTTAGCACACAAAATTAAGTTTAATTTTAAACACAGAAGTAAGATAGGCAACAGTCCTATAGCTTATGATGGTTCCTCCTATTTCCAACAGGATGCAATACAGCAAAGAACAACTCCCAGTCCTTCTAAAACATCCTTGAACCTCACTTCTAATAGAAAAGTAAGACTTACGATAATACGCTATTTCCTTGTCTTAAAACCTCATCAACTCATGAAATTGCTTTGAAACTAATTTTTCCATCTTCTCTTCCGCCCAAACCCCTCAACATTTGATTCATTGAGAATGTCATGTGGAAGTCTCACTAAAAGAGGTCTTTTACAAACAGTAAAAGAATAGAGATCTATTCTATTATTTATAAAAAACATGTGTCTACAGAGGTGACCACCTCACCACTTTACCTTTTTGGGAGGCATGCTTCTCAGTTTTCCCCTGATATTCAAACCCAACAGCTGACTGGAAGAGAAATAAAATTGTACGTGTGACAGAGAGTTAGATATTAGTAGAAACACTGCATGTACTTCAGTTTCTGTGTCTTTCCATGCTGCTCTGACCTTCTTGATCAGGAGCATAAATACCTACTTAACTTATAGGCCATATTCATTTACATGGTAATTTAGTGCATGTATTCACGGCAAGGGTTTTGGTCATCCCTTGCCAAAGCAAATTGTACTAGCAACATAATCTAGTCTTGCCAGGTTGAGCAATTCAGTACAAGAGGAATTCAGCAATTCCACGCAGGGGTTGTTACACAGTCTTGGAACAGGACACCAATTATCCTGCCCATTAGTTCATGTTGCAATACAGGACAAACCATCCCCAAATCCCTCCTTCTGTAGCACTCAGGCTGATTTTATCCTCATTACAGAACACAGCCAGGCTAAAAGGCATATTTTAACGTCTCTTTTCAGTTTTCTTTTCAACTCGTCTCAATTTCCCATAAGGGTTTTTTTCTATTTTGCTTTAAACAGTAATTTAGCTCCGTAACAGTCAGTGCTAGTTTACCGTTAAACTTCAAATACAGCTGGAAAAGCAGACCACACGAGCATTTTAAGGTATTGAAATTTTTCAGTTGTACGTACAAAATCAGAAACTCAACTATTGTGAGTAGCTGCAGTCCGAGACGAAATTGCTTACCTGGTCAACTCTATCGGTTTGTACTCCAAACTTGCCACCAAACCCTTTCACCGAATCCACTTGGGAGCAATGCTTAGAAAGTTTGGATTGATATTCATGTCCAACAGCTGACTAAAAGAAATTGGAGAGTTCAGAAATAGCCAGCAGTTCTACACAGTTCTGTATGTAAGAGAAAATACTGCACCAAGTAACCCGAGGATAAGCTTCGTTACAAACATGCATCACTGCCACTTCTCCTGTTGAAACTACCTTCCCTGGAAATTGCTACTCACTTGAGAAGTCTTTATAAGACTGTCGCCATCCTACTAACACAGCCTAGGCAAGGGAAGTGCCAAGACAGAGTCTGACAGCAATGACTGTATTTTATGAACACTGTTCTGTGCTCTGCATTTTTACTTCAAAAGCACAGGAATGAAAACAAGAAAGATACAAACAAAGTCTTGATGCTGTTCATGCAGAATTTAAAGTAAGGATTAGTTCCAGATAAAATACGCAGCCTTGTATTTAGGCTGATAGCTACAGATCTGTTTTAGCTGATACTAGATTGCAATCAAATACAACTACAGTTAGATTTTCCTTTGATATTGTTTTAGGGAGGTACTCTGATCTGCAGAAACCAAAATTAGGCATCTTCTCTCCATACTTTCTCCTCACTTGCAAAATAGCATCGCAACATGAAGCGGTGCATCCACATCAAGATGTTCCCCATGCCAAAGGCATCTCGGCCCCCCAGTCTCCAATTTGAGCCTGTCCCTGGCACTCACGCCCAACACAGCAAGCTGAAGCTCAGTTACATCGCACTGTGACTGGCTTCAGGTAAGACACAAGGGTATGTAATTACACACTTAAAAGTACATCCAGATAGCATTCGCTAGTGTTACACTTATCTAGTGCTAGGACACCCTTCTAGATCCTGGAATCAATGCTAGAACCTAGCACCTTGAGGGGTGCTACATAACATAGAAAAAATATTTTTTTTTCTTGTCCAGTGCCAAAACAGTGCCGGCCAGAGCGACTTGCAATTTGCCACTTTAACATTTGAGTCTGTTGCTCAAATGCCTACAATTCCTGTCCGAGGCAAAAACAGAAGACCCTATAACCTGCTGCACACAGCCATGCCCAGACTGAGAGGCTGCACCCTGTGACAAGCACCCACTGCAGCACTGTCAGTTCCAGCACCGGTCCGTGTGCACGGGGCAGGTGGCATCTGCGGCTCCAGGAGAGCACCCTCCCAGCCGCTGCCCCAAGTGCCGACCTTTGAGGAATGAGAAACTGCTTATCTCGTAGCAGGATCAGACAGCTGGACCAAGATTAATTAATTTGAGGACACAAGGTGCCCAGAAACTGTAAGTAACTTGGCTTTTACAGTATTTGCCTTTTTTTTTATTTTCACACAGGTGCTAGAGGGAACATTCCCAGCATGTAGGAAAGCAAAACATTACCACACATAATGGCTGAAGTAATTGCCAGGTAACAGAACAAGGATGTCAATAATAGGGCATTACCTTAACTTATAAGCAATATAAAAGCTCCTTTCTTTTCCTGAAACAGTCATACTCTTGTTCACTTTGCAGGTGTTCTGCAGCAGAATAACTGTTAAATGTGACAGAAAAGGCTCCCACACCTCCCTTTCTTCTTCCTGTTACCCATTACATTTATGGAAGGCATGAAGCTCTGAAAATTCTAGGTTTTATGTTGTTTTACATGATCTCTCTTTTGTTATACCAATTGAGGTAGGTAAAGTTTAAGTATGTTGTTTTCTTTATCTGGCACCAGAACTTTCTGCATCTCATCAAATATCAAGCATCAGAACACACCTCTTCTTAGAAAAGACTTGGAAGAAGATTTTTCTTGGAAATCTGTATTTCAGAGTAAATTGCCCTCATAATTCCTCAGCACAATACTCTGCTACATTTGAAATCAGTGATGGAGGTCCAGCATATAGAATGATGAAACTGTTCATTTTAAGTCAGCATCAAGGTTTTGTCCTAAATACAGCAAAAACCTGTACCATGACAATGCTGCAGTAACACTCATTTACTTCAGGTAAGTCAAGCCTTAATACTAGCACACCTGCACAGAGCCACAGATAACTGTGAAGGAGAGATCTCAATGATAAGGTTTTAGAACTATAGTTCTAAGGAAGAAAGCTTTATTAAAAAATAAATTACGAACATCTCCTGTCACCAGTATCACTCAGATGGGCATGACCATCACCTTTTTCCTGGCGATTAATTCTGGCCTACAGGAAACAGTTCTCACTTTTGTTTCTTTTATTCCCCATGGACACAGGTGAGGGATAAATCACTGACACTAGAGCACTACACAGCTGCAGAACAGGCCTAACAGTTGAATCTGCTCAGCAGTTCCTTTCCCAGATTCAAAAGTGAGGTTAGCCTATTTCAAAGGCCCATTGAGAATTACACAGCAATTTGCTCTGGAATACAGGAATCCAGCAAAAATTTAAGGCTGCCAAATTACTAGAAACCCAGAAAGTACATAAAGTAAAAAAATAAAATCATTCTTATTCAGGAAACAGTTTGGCTCTTATTTTAACAGAGTACATGAAAGAAACTAGCCAGAAGTTGATATGCCTGCCTAATTATCACAAGGCTAAGAAAATTACCTTAAGAATGATCATTTCTTTTGTTAACAGACTGTAACTTAAACAGTTGTCACGTCCTTATGTAAAACATTACCATCTGACTGAAGCACGATGATTTTTTTAAATACTTGGATTACTTGTCACTGTTCGCAGTTTACCACTGTTTAAGAGAGCTGCCCTCCAATTTAAAAGCAACACACTCTTCATTCTTTGGCAAGCTCTATATGCATAGAAGAGCTGGCACAGAATCAAAATAAAAAACAATACTGGATGTATTAATGCATAAAGTTCTTTGTTCATTTAGAAATACATATTTAGCAACTTGAATCTTGACTCCAGGGGAATCCACTCAGGACATAAGCATGCAGACTTGCTCTAAAGAGGGAGTAAGTAACAAAAAAATACATGGGGCCACTGCACATCCCAGAACTTCTCATCATTCTCAGATTTCTAATTTGCCATCTGAAATACTTGTTCCTGATGCTGCAAGTTCAGTTCTTTCTGCAAAAGCATCTTAATTTAATTGGGGAACAGAGCATGATGGCCTGACAGATTTGCGTAGCAGTGGTTACAAGTGTTCTTGTTAGAGCATCGCAAGAGTGATGCTTCTGCCATCAAAATGAGCCACTGCTGTATATAGCTTATGTCATGTTCTGAGCTTCTACATCTCCGAACCTAGCAAAGTTGGAACAACTTTGCACCTTCAGCAAGCTTAACTCACAGATATGGTTGTGTTGGCCATAGGCAATGCAAGGCAAAGCTTATAATACCATCCCAGGGAATCACTGATACTTACTTTATCCATGCGATCTTGTTCAACACCAAATTTCCCTCCATAGCCATGGGAAGCCTTTGGTCCTGTTTCAAGCTCCTTCTCTTTGAGGTTCTGGTGTTCTTGGAATACATTCTCTCTCAGCTGATGAATACTTTAAAGACAGATAATTAAGCAGCAAGTTTTACTAAGAATGTTTCAGAAGATACTTTTTATTTTGCATCTTTTTGAAGTTAGGATGATAAAAGTATAATCTTTTAATTAAAAGTTGGACAGCTTGTATTTTTCAAGTCCTTTCCATTTTTTCAGTGCAGAAAGCACTTCATCATATTGTGAAAAATAGAATTTATTTCCACTGCAAAACATTATCTAAAAAAATAAGAAACAGTTGGTTTTAAGATTAACATGGAAGGGTATTTTGCTATTTGAACAATCAATTACTTAGAATTTATATGTGCCTGAAACATGTTTTCTACTCAAGTCCTAATTTAAGCTCTTTCCAACACTTTTTACTTAGATGGCAACTTTTCAGAATAGGGATCATCTCTTATCATACAGTCGCTATGGTATCAGGACTCTAATTCTAACTGAGCATTCTGAACACAATTGTAATGCAAAATAAGGATGCAAGGAGACACGCATCTCCTCTTCCCGAGGTGTCCCCTTGCAATATGCAGGAACTGAACTCACGGTAGTGCAGGCTACATACAAGAAGGATAAACCCAGATGGTAATCTGTACCTTAAAACCCTTCCCACCCGAGTTTAAAGCTTCCTCAGGCGTAATTCAGCCAGCAGGCGTCCCCACTGCACGCCAAATAGGGCAGAATAAAACTGATCCCCGAAGGAAGCCGCATAGTTCAGCCTCTCTCCATCAGTTTGCAACACCGATGACATTTATTCTTAGCTTTATACCACGAGGGTTGATGCCCCAGAAATACAGAAGCAAAACCAAAATGAACATCACCATCACAGATTTCCTAATCCTGCTTTAAAGTTAAGTCTTAGACACTTTTTGTAAGAAATACAAGATTCAGAAGATGGATCGTGTCATTCTCACATAGCCGCCTGTGATGCATTCATTTGCTTTTCTGCCAGAGGGCTCAATTTGTTACTCTGTCAGACTTTATGAGTTTGGGAGCAGTTTTCTAAACAAAGCCTAAGGATTAAGGGACCAAATGTATCCTCAAAGCACCAAACCAGAACTGCTCAGATCACCCAACAGAAACTTCTCCCCTGGCAGTACTGGCTCTTGCACCAAAACAGAACAAAGAAACTTTCCAGACACAAAGAGGCAGGAAAAATAACATTTCCAGTTACAAAGAAACATTTAAGAGTCCCTACACCATATTTCTGATCTTAATTTCAGATCTGAAGATACTGACGCATTCGAAAGACCAGCAATCTGGCAAATAATCAATCTTCTGCAGAGACTCTTGTTTTAATTATGATGAGACAAGTAATGGAGAACATGAGTTGATTAAAAGTCGCCTGGCATCGTGACTATTAATATATTTTAAAAGAGAGATGCTTTACTTGATGTGCTCTTGATGGCCGGATCCTTTCACAGTTTTAGCCCCCCAGCGCTGTTCTTTCTCACTCACATCATTCTGCAAAAGACACAGACAAAAAGAGTTAAAAACCCAAAGATGCTACTAGTCATCTGCACTTTAGAGTTTACAGCAAAAGCCTTCAGCAGCTGGCAAGATCAGAAGAGTTAGAAAAGCAGCTACTACCACCTTTGCTTCTCTTCTGCTGTGAGCCCTGTGCTTTGTCCCCTGCTGAAACGCACAAAGCACACACTCAGCCCCAAAAGGCTGCTGCTTCTTAACACAAACCTCTCCCGTACAGACTTCCCTGCAGCACTCAGCCAAGACAAGGTAGTTTTGTCAATCAGTCACAGGCACAAAATGCTATTTCTCCCTCCTTCCAGGAATATGCTCCTATCAGTTTATTTTGCTGAGACATAGCCCCCACCCTGAAGAAATTACTCTTTAACATGTTACGTAGCACACTTCTGCTGAATCAGTAAAATTCAAAAGCCATACCACAAAATCAGGATCCGTCTCCCAGTCATCGGCTCCATCATCCTGATGGACAGAAATGGTGTGGCCTGCAGTAGCCTTCCACATCTGCAACACCATCAGAAGAAGCACTGTCACACTCCAGTCACATGTCAACCCATTTTATATTATGTATAACCTGATGGAGATGTGATCCGAAATTCCCAATAAAGCATGTTATTTAACCCCATAAACAGAAGCTATATTTGCAGTGAAAGCAGATTTGACCATTGGCTCTCAGGCTGTCTTCTCAAGCTGGTTCGAAAACCCCTTTTAGATTTCCTGTTTGCACAGCAAAAACGTTGGGAGCAATCACTGACATGATTTCATTGAGAACAAGGGAGCCTTTCCTTGCTCAAATTAACGTGTCTTTTCTTCATTCACTGCACTGAAAGACCTCTCTTCAAACAAGTCTCCAAACTAACATCCACTTCCAGAGCCTGCTGCTAATTCTAGATCCTGTACATATATTTAAGGTGTAGGAATAGGGCTTTTTTTCTCCAGCCATTAGTAGTGATGAGCATGATACTGTTCATTAGGCAGTATAACCTACACTATACCTACACAACCTCCTCTGTTGTGTAATGAGTTTCAGCATTATGAAAGAAATCCAAACCACCGTAAGAACTGGCATGCAATCTACACACCAGTCCACCTGCCTTCAACAACTGAGTACACAAGTTACTGTGTTTCTCGGATAATCCCTTGTGAAACACCTACACAGACTCAGCATCTTGTCTGACTTTCAGCAGAAACAGAGGGCGAGTGCTGGAATACTGACAGCAGGAAGCAAAACTCATGAACAGGCAAGCAATAACATTTATAAACAACATTCAACACTTTTAAGAGGCTAATGATTTTGGGTATCTCACTTTCTGGAAACCTTATCCCCTGTGCAGTATCAAGTTGGACACTTTTCATTAACACTTTTGAACGTGACTGGTGAGCAGAATACCTGACCTGCCTGCTGCTAGCTGCTGTATTTTATATCCTTTATTCCAGGTAAATCAAAACAAATAAATTCTAAAAACCAAAAGAAGAACAACCAAAAAACCCTTTCTGTTCTCCCAGCTTTTTTAGGTACACAAGTCTTTTTTTCACTGCTATTCCACTAGAGTTCAGTTTTTAACACACCATTATTCTGTCCACTTACCTTTATCTTCCTAATTAAAAATAGATTATAAGGATGATTATCATGAACTATTTCATTCATTTAAGCACAACTCAGTAGGTGGAACAAAAAACCCATTTTAAATGCGTAACTAATAATCCATAGATAAAGTGCACAGATTAAAAAAACATCACTTGGTCTACAGCCTGACAGAACGAGCTGATGAGTCAGTTTTATGGAGCATTTCAGAAATTTCAGGACTGGTAACAAGAATGACAGCAACTGAAAAACTGATAGTCAAACACTAAGGCAGCAAATGACAGAGTAGCCTGGAAGGAGGGTGTAAGAGCAGAGCACATGAGATCCTGACAAAATAGCAGTAGGATGCCCCCCCTTATGCCTCCTCAGGTCTCCCATCTTCAAATTCCTACAGGAATTAAGGAACTAGCATTTGTTATATTACTTCATATCCAGTGAGACCACATGTTTATAATACAAACCTTTTCGGTATTTTATCTTCTCCTTAGAATATCCTGTCTAAAGCCTACCCTCAAGCGACCGTGTCCCAGGTTCTCCTGCTCTTTAGATTGCCACATGGCCCTCACTAAAATCAAATCTTTCATTAAAAAAAAAAAAGCTTTGGAAAGCAGAACCAAACCAGCTCATAAATGAAACTCAACATAGGGTCCAAGTTCCAACTTTGTAACGAAACACAAACCTATAGCCGCTCCTAAGAAGGATGGCTTGCACCCCTCCCTCCGTGCTCCACCATGCCAAATATGTCACTTAGAAATGGAATTCAGGTGACAAGAGCTGAAGCGCAGGTACGTATGTGCATGGTTACTCTCTATATTTCATGCAAAACACAACTTTTTTCCCTGAAGCACTTGGTTCATGCATTCACTTGCTTGTTTTGTTTTGCTTTGTTCATTCAGCTGTGCTTGGCCATTTAAAAGAACAAAAGCTAGATCCTAAGTCTGGATTTCTTTGCTTCCTCCTCAAACTCTCACAAACAATAATGAAGGAACGCACATACCCCCTTACAAAATCCAGAATCCACCGCATTTCTTCCTAAATTATGCACATAAACGCTAACGTTTTTCCACACCTCAACCCCGCGTTCCAGAACATGAATTCCAAAAGGGAGTAAAGCATCCCAGTACCAAGGGATCTCAGTCAAGACCTCTGATTGCTGGTGGGGAGCTAACAGGAATAAGCCTGGTTTCTGCAGCAGCTTGCTATTCCAGCATCTCTTCCAAAGCAGAACGTGGAGAAATATGATCTATTTATGAGTCACTAACTCACATGGTCAAATTTCTGAAGGAAAAAGAAAACGCTACAGTTCAAACACAAAGTGAGGCTAAATATATGCTTTGAGTTTATCTGGCCAGCTCTGCTCTTCACCGCTGTTATGACTAACCAGCAGTCACATCACCCTACCCAGCACCTTTAGCGGCACCCTCGGGAACTCCCCTCTTCCCCAGGGCCTACGGACAAACTCCTGGAAGGAACAAAGGGAGATGCCAAGGCTTTCAGCCCAGACATAGCACTGCAGGTGAAGAGAACCAAGCAGCGGCCTTAGGCCTGCGCCAAGGCACGACGGGGAGGGGGGGGCACCGTGCACTCATCCTGGCCTGGCTACCTGCTGGGGACCCGTGGTCCGCCCCGGCAGCTTGCCACCCCCCTGGCAGCCCCGTCAGGGCACTGGAGAAGAAGGGCGCTCAGGAAGGCTCCTCGCTTCTCTGAGGGCACAACGGCACCCTCAGGCCTGACCTTCGCAGGCCACAGCGTGGCTCACCCCCTTTTCCACTCACGGACGCTGCCTTCTCGAAGCCCCCCAAGAATCCTACAGCAGATGCTTTTTCTTCTTTCAGGTTACCAGCTCTCGGGCCTTTGAGATACGGACAGCTTTATAGAGTTTTAAGAAAAAAAAGAGTCACGTAACCCTGGCTCGCCTTTTCACCAGCAAAGCGACTG